CATAGGGTGGATTATCGATTCTTGTGTTCTGCATTAAACTATTTATAGTTTAAGGGCCTGGTTAGAAATGTTGCCTTAGACTAGGAATAGCTAAGAGCTTGTTATAAAATGATTTGGCCTTAGATTAAGAATAATTTAAGAGCATGGTTGAGATATTGAATATCAAATGACTTGGAATAAAATATTGAGAAGATCATGAATGTTTGAATCATATATTGTGTGCATGATATCAAATGGTTGATTATGAATTGAGATTCAATTTATTTGGATGTTCGAAGCTTTAGATATGATTACTCAGCTTCATCGCTGAGCGTGTAGTATGTTTTATTTGCTACACGCAGGTAAACAGAAAGATTAATGTGATCCTGGCGGCAGATGGGGCGAGATTGTCCGGATGGATGTGACAAGTTTTGAAATGATTTATGATATGTCAATATTAAATTCGCTTCCGCAATATTGTTAAATACTCCGTACTGCATATGTTATGAAAAATATTATTGAGATTAATAAAGTGTGTTTGAAAAGTTTTAAATTTTACGATTACCAAGTTAAATACTTTAGTCCGAATGAGGCTGTAGACCTGGACGGATTAGGGTGTTACACCACTAACCTAATTTAACTTTCCTTGGGTGTAAACTTTTGGACGACTTGGCGTCCTGGTGCCGCTCCGAAGATGACTAGATCCTGGGAAATTAGAAAGTGTGTTATTTTTAAAAAAAATCAGTCGCAAGTCGCGATTAAATTAAAATACCCTACTGCAGTCCGTCGCCGTAAATAGTTAACTTCTCTTCCTCTGGTCTTAGATCGTAAATCTCACTGCCCTATTTCTTTTCGAAATACTCTAATTTGTAATTAGTGTCATATTTCCAAGTACTACCTTTTTTCCAATTAGTGACTCGCGTAGTATTTTTTGATGAGGCACTTATTTTTAGTGCATTATTGTCCGCTCCCATCGGTGCCTTATTTTTTAAATTCTTTATAATTGACTTTCTTTCCAATCTTATGCCTTTCTTCCAATTCATCTTCATAATCTACTTACTGTTCTTTAGTCAATGCTTTTTTTTTCTTTGAAAAATGCTGTATGATTGGTTTATTTCCAATCCAAGTCAGTAATCTTTCTGTTCTTCAATTTTCTATGTGACCCTACTTTTCAATTCATGGTTGTTATATGGCATTTCCTTTCATATGGATGTTGAACTTTGATGAAATCAAAATTTAAACTTTATTAGCTACAACATATAGTGTGATATATTAATTATCATTATTAGTGTTTCGGATGTATAGGAATTCTTGTGTACTAGTTGTTACCTAGGCGGTCGCCTAGGGTGTCATAGCGATACACTGGTGCCATGATAAGTATGGCTGTGATTGAACCTATGGGGATCTTCTCTTGTTGCTAATTCTGTTTATTTGCCTTTTCAAGCATCAAGCGTAAACAACCTGATCAGCGCAACGGGGAGAGTGATTTATACGAAGATGAGGTAAGTGAATTGGTTCGCTCTCGTCTGCCTATGTTTTGACTAAGCATTTTTTTTTATGACAAAGCAAAAACAATAGTATTGGAAAAAGAGAGAGAGCTAGATATAGGGTTTCGTTGCACAATGTATTGAGTTTGCTCTTAATGATTTTGTTACTGTTGATGCAGGATTGCAAGATGAGCGGGGTGAATCAGATGAACACAAGGTAATTCATTCTTTCTTTTTATATACTCCGTGATATATGTGCACTGGAAAAAGGAAGTTAGTCATAACATTACATAGAGTAAAATAATCATTAAAATAAATAAATTTGGTGTGTTCAATCATTCCACAGTTGACTTTAAAAGCCTCGATTGGTGTACACTGTCTAGTCAGGAAAATTGATTGGAGAACAATATGGGTAGCTCTCGAGTCTTGATAGTCATTTTGTTATTTTCATTTGGTTGGGGGAGGGGAGGAAAATGAATCCATCCCCTTTGTTTGGTTAGAAAAATTGGAAGAAGGGGACCCTAAATCTCCCCTCCTATTCTTCCACTTCTTTTCTGTGCTTCCATCGTGTCCTCCCTCTTTGGTTCATCTCCTCCCTTCTCCTCTTCTCTGCTTTGTTCCCCTTTCTCTTCCCCGTCTCCTTGACCCTTAACCAAACAAACAAAGGGAGGGGCTCCCTCCCCACCCCACCCCACCCGGACCCCGGTACTAAACAACAGGCCCTAAATGTATCCAGGGTTGCATACTTCTTGACCATCAAGGCCTCATTGAATTAGGATTATACAAGCGTAATTGTTGCTCTGTATTTATAAATAAAGGGAAGGTATAGATGCACTCTGGTAGAAAAGGTCTGCTCTGCTGGGTAATGGCGTTTGTTGCCTCATGGAGTGATTGTTGGGAAGTTACTGAACCTGAGGATCTCCTCTTGTTGCTAATTCTTTTTATTTGCTTTTTCAAGCGTCAAGATAATGCAACCTGGTCATCACAACACGTCAAGCTAAAGCAACCCGATCAGCAAAATGGATGTTGCGATTGTGGATGAAAACGAGGTAAGTTGCATTGAGAGTTTATTGTTTTAGGAGTATTTTGGGAGTGTTTTGGTTAGAACGCTGGAGGATATTCATGTACATTTTTCAAAAATTAATAAATTATGTTTTAAGGTGCTACCATTCGACTATGCTTTCGGGTCAGTGGCTACTGCTATGAACACGCAACCATTTTGATCCACCCCCCTCTTACACTCCCTTTGCAGATTGATTGGAAGAAGTATAAAATAAAACCCAAACCTGTTGTGAGTTTTGAATTTATTAAATTATGACATTGTACGTGGAGTATATATTTACATTTTGTGTGTACTGTGCTTTGAGCGTGTCCTCTCTTATCCAAACCTATGTTTTTCGCAACCACTCGGATATACATCGACACACCCTTATCTATACTATTTGTTGTTACGGAATAGGGTATTGAGTAATCAAAGAACAAACAGAAAAACACAACAACAGATTTAACGTGGTTCACCAACGTTGTGTTGGCTAGTCCACGGGGAAGAGGGGGAGCAGTTTTATTTCTGAAGGAGAGGCAAAACAGAGTACAGCTCATAGGGTTTGTGGTAGCACCCATATAAATAGTGCTTCACTAAACCCTAACATACTTGGGCCCAAAACTACATAATTAACAGATAATTAGAAGCCCAATTAACTTCTCCGGATTCTGACTNCAGTCTGCAAAGTTGCTTTCCAACTAACAACAGAACCACCCAGAGTGAAAACGTAACCAGTCATAGATCTTCTACTGTCAACATCTCCAGCATAATCAGAATCAGAATAGCCGGTCATAGAACAGTGAGTACCACCTCCATATATGAGACCAACATCAGACGTACCTCTCAGGTAGCGGAAAATCCTCTTCACAGCCTGCCAGTGCTCCTTTCCAGGTTGTCCCATGAACTTGCTAACAACACTAACAGCATGTGCTATGTCTGGTCTAGTGCAGACCATAGCATACATCAGGCTTCCTACTGCATTGGAGTATGGAATTCGAGACATATACTCCAACTCTGCTTCAGACTTTGGTGCATAATCAGATGATAGATGGATGTTTGTGGCACTTGGAGTATCAATAGGCTTAGCTGTACACATGCCAAACCTTGACAGAATCTTCTCAATATAGCTTTTCTGTGATAAGAAAAGCTTCTTCTGATCTCTATCCCTGTATATCTCCATGCCTAGAATTTTCTTCGCAGCACCCAGATCCTTCATATCAAACTCAGCATTTAGATGGCCCTTCAACTTCTGAATCTCTAACTTCGACTTCGCAGCTATGAGCATATCATCCACATACAGAACAAGATAGATCATGGAGCCATCATCAGCTTTGTTGTGATACACACAAAAATCATATGGACTCCTGCTGAATCCTAGCTGAATCATGTAAGTGTCAAACCTCTTATACCACTGCCTTGGAGACTGCTTTAGTCCATATAAAGACTTCTTCAGCTTGCAAACATAATTCTCCTTGTCTGGAACCATGAATCCCTCTGGCTGAGTCATGTAGATATCATCCTCAAGCAATCCATGTAGAAAAGCTGTCTTCACATCTAGTTGCTCAAGTTCCAGATCCTGATGTGCAACCATCGCAAGTAACACCCTAATGGAAGTATGTCTGACTACTGGTGAGAAAATCTCATTATAGTCAACCCCCTCCTTCTATGTGAACCCTCTTGCCACTAGTCGTGCTTTATATCTGACACCCTCACCAGGGATGGTTCCTTCCTTCTTCTTGAAAATCCATTTGCAAGTAACAATCTTCCTCTCCTTAGGCCGTGTGACCAACTCCCAAGTCTGATTCTCGGACAATGACTCCATCTCTTCTCCCATTGCAGCGAGCCATTTAGCACACTCACTGCCCGAAACAGCTTCTTTGTATGTAGATGGTTCGTCTATCGATGGCTCATCTTCCACCTCATCTGCGACCTGTAGTGCATATGTCACCATGTCCTCAAACCTGTACCTCACCGGAGGCTTCACACCTGTCCTCCTAGTTCTATCAATGGCGATGCTTCTCTGACGAGCTTCCGGATGAACATCAGAAATGGTGGTTTCAGCAGTAGTGTGTTGATCTTCTCCACCTTGGGGTTGTAATTCACTCTCATTTGGAGTGACTTGCAGCTCCACCTGTTTATCAACACCAGAATTTTCTGCACCAATGGACTTCTCAACAAAATTAAGCATAGAATTTTCATTAAATACCACATTCCGACTGAGGATAACTCTATTTTCTGATGGCGACCAAATTCTATACCCCTTGACTCCATC